AATAATAATAATAATGAAAATGAAAGAGAAGAAGAGGAAGAAGAAGAAGAAGAAGCCAGACGGTATATGTGGCGACAACGTGTACGTGCCCTTCGACATGCGGATTACATGCGATTAGAAACATTACATTATTTAAAACTTCTCGCAAGTGCTATTCCGAAATTACGACGAATTTGGCGTGGAGAAGATTTCTGTGCGTGGGAAGGCGTCACGTGTACAGCCGTACGATATCCCATTGAGTTATTAGTGGAACCCCCACCCTCTCATACACATATGAATAGTAATAGTAATAGTAATAATAATAATAATAATAATAGGAAGAAGAAGAAAAAGAATAATAAGAATAAGAAAAAGACAAGTAGTGGTGGGACGCCAACAACAATAACAATAGAAAGTACACAAGTCAGTGAAGATGGTAGTCAATACCTTATTTTTTCCACACCATTATCTAAACATCATCCATTGTATCTTGACAGTTTCCTTGAGGATCCCGTCTTTACATTAGTAGGTGTTCGTCTGCGGGGATTACAACTTTACGGCCGACTGCCGGTCCTGCGGCCCCCCGGCGCGGCCCACACCGCCTCCCCGCTTCACAGCGCGATCACGGCGATTGCGTTAATGGAGCAGCGACACCCGCGGGCCCGCAGAGAAGAGGAGAGAAGACGACGGCCCATTACTTCTCCACGAGAGCCGCAGTATTGGCCGTGGGAGGCGGCAGATATGCGTATGCATGCACGGATGCAGAATAGTACATATGAGATGCTGCGGTATACACTACGGCGGATATTAAGACGATTGGAATTACGGGGATTGAAGAATAATCATTCAGATGTGCAGGGATTTGTTATGACGACACCCACCACAATAACACCAACGGTGTTAAATACAGATCCAGGAAAAACAGGAAGTACATCATCATCATCATCATCATCGCAGTCTACAGGGGCTAGCTCAACAACAACAGGAAGCCCATCTAATAATAATAATAATAATAATAATAATAACAATAATAATAATGGACCTGGTATTACCATGATGTTGCAGGAAACACTATTGCCAAGGGTAACTCATCAAGATATTGCACAGACGGTATTTGGAGAGATTGAACCACGTTTAGTGGGCATTCAGCGATTGGATATTTCATATAATCCCGGTGTGTTGGTGGTCCAATCTGTAGACTGGTTATTTCCATATATGCAGATGTTTAATACGATTGGAACAAGTTCACAACCGGCACATTTCCGAGAACCACATAAAGATGGTAAAAGGGATGAAGTGTGCTGGTAAAAAAAAAAAAAGAAAAACAAGAAAAGAAACAAGGAATGGAATGGAAAAGAATTTTTCTTTTAAGTTGAGAGAGAAAGAGAGAGAGAGAGAGAAAGTTGTGGTGGGAAATGTGTGAGGTTGTAAATTAAAATGAATGGAATTGAAGAATTGTCGTTTAGAATATATATATGCATATATATATGAATATATATATGAATATTTGTCTCTCTCTTTCTCTCTCTCTCTCGCTCTGTTGTTCTCGCTCTGTGTATATCATGGCTTGTCTGTGAAATGTGAAGGGCAAATAAAAAATAAAAAGTGTGGAAACCTTCTGATTACATTTGCAATTATGATTAATAACCTATGTTATTAATAGTTTATTATTAATACCCTATTGCTATTATTATTATTATCACTAGTATTATTAGTATATTAATCTTTCTCAGTGATTGAAGTTCCATGTGGCCAAGTAAAAAACCTTTACAGTGTGCGATTGACTCTCGGACCAATCATAATAATGCTCTTTTGTTTTTTTTTCTTTTTTCTCTTGTGTGTATATGTGTGTCTGTGTGTGTGGGAGAGGACTTAAATTCAGAGGTATTTCAAATAAATAAAAGAAAAATAATAATATTATAATTATTATTAATTGTTATTATTATTAATTATTATTATTAGTATTAATTATTATTAATTATTAATATTATTATTAATGAAAACAACGTTGAATTGCCTTGGATGTTATTTCTGCCTACAATTATGACTCTTGAAGTGGAACCTCCATAGAGTACTTTTTTTTAAAAAGAAAAATAAGAGAAGATAAAATAAAATAAACTCCTTTTTTTTTTATTTCTCTCTGCATGTTCTTTCTTAATTTCCTTTTTCTTTTTCGTTTCTTTTTCTTCTTTCTTTCTTTCTTTTGATGATGATGATGGTTGTGTAGGTGATTTCTTAATTCTGAGGGTCTCCCGCGATCTGTAGAAGCAAGAAGAAGAGAAGAAGAAAAAAGAAAAAAGAGATTTTTTAGAGCCTAGAAAGAAAAAGAAAAAGAAAGAGAAAAAACTGAAGTTTGTATATATATATTTATATTATATATATATATAGTTATTCTATCACCTCTCTCTCTGTGTGTGTGTGTGTGTGTGCGGATTAAGATAGGATAAAGAAAAGAAAAAGAGAGAGAAAGAAAGAAAGAAAGAAAAAGAAAAGAATGAATACCAAATCAGGTGGTGGTATTATTAGCGGTGGTCCAGCTGCAAAGGCCGCTCCCAACTCTAATACCATCTCATCATCATCAACAACTGCTGCTGCTGCGGCTGCTGCCTTGTGTGGATCTCGGCCCTCTGAAAGAGTGGCAGCAGCGCAGAAATGGTTTCTGCAGCGAGAGGCCGTTTTGGATGCGTGTGCGTTGGCGACAAGTGCGACTACATCTGTGCAAACACGACGACGTGGAGTGCGGGAGTGTTCCACGCAAATAATGAAATTACTGGAGGATCTTCGTCAAACCTGTACAGCTGATAATAATAATATTAATATTAACACTATTAATAATAATATAAATGCAGGAAATGATATGGGAAAGGGAGATGGGAAAGATATCACAACAACAACAACGACGACGACGACCAACACTACACGAGGAACAACTGCTGCTGCTGGTTCTCTGGATAATAAATGTAAAAATGAGGAACAAATGGCTTGGATAAATGCCATGGCAGAGGCGAATAGTGCTTTATTTCGAACGGAATGTGGATTGGAGGTGGAGCCCAATGAGTTGCTCCTTCCATCAAATGATGATGATAATAATAATAATAATAATAATAATAATAATAATAATAATAATAACGATGGCAGTAATCATGCAGAGATAGTGCAGCGACGATTACAACCGCTCCAACGACTCTTAACAGCAACAAAGGATCTCCGACAACTTCCACAGTATAATATATTGGTTTCAGCGGCGGGAAAAGGAAGTACAGAGGCCACACATATTCCCGCTCTTGTAAAGGGTCTTCAAGATACCATGGAAGAGTGTTTACGTTTACTGGAGCAAGATTATGCGAATTGTCCACGATCTGCAGATGTGATTATAGCCTGGGCAGAGTGGGCCCAACCACTGGTTCGTTTGGTCTCGGAATGTCTTCGCATGACTCCATTAGATCGCGTGGTGGAGGAACCGAGAGAACGTCTTCGTCGTGTGACATTTGATGTGAAAGAGAAACAACGTGAACAGGAGGATGCGGTGACGGATGGAGATATGGTGCGATCGGAACAATTATATTTTGAAAAAACAGCACTTTTAGAAACCATGCGTCCTTTATATGATCAATTGGAACGGGCAATAGAAGCACATAAACGAGAGGCAGGCGAGGAACCGTTACATCGATTACGAACATTGGTACAGGAATTAACCACAAGACATGCCCCACCATTAATTGCACAACAACAACAATTAAAAAAACGTGGATACAGTGATTTGGATAAATTAACAGCTCGTCGAGAAGAAGTACGATCCACTCGACATGCCCAACGAGCCGCTTTTAATGTCTACCTCACGGAATGGGATAAACTCTTTGCCGTGAATCAACAACAACAGGAGGGATGTTTACGGGCGATGGAGGAATTGGAACAACGATTACGACATCTCTGTGAGGAACGGGCCTGTTTGGTGGAAGATCGATTGGAAATGATGACACAAGAAAGACAACGTGCAGATGATGCGGCGGCGTTTATTGCATTTGCATCTACACATGAAAATGCCCTGCGGTCCACAATGCTGCATGTGGAACAAACGATATTCTGTGCACAAAGTATGCAAGATGCACTTCGTAGTGGTTATCAACATTTACAACGACATTTAATAGAAGCCGTACAACAGGCAGATGAGGCACAATTGTTAGAAGTCCGTAAAGAACGATTGGAACACTTCCGTGGACTTTATTTAACACTTGGGGAATTGCAATTTAAAAAGGAACGACATGTGGAGGAGTTGGATAAACGGATTGAGTATTATCATGTTCAGCAGGAACTTGCTATGGATACCTTTAATCCACGTGCAAAGGAATTCAGTAAGGCTAAAAAAGATTTAATGGAAGTTCGAGATACCGTTCAACAACAGGTGGAAGGTATTGCACAAAGAGCCGCTAAACAATTGGAGGAATTTGCACCTACAGAGAAATTGTTATTGGCATCTGGTGTGCAGTTCCGACATCCAGTGGAGGAATTGGCGGAAATGAATGCCGTGCGAACACAGAAACTACTGGAATATCATTCATTAATGTCTACTATGCAGGAAGGCCGTGGAGAAGGGGATGAGGAGGAAGAAGGGGGAGAAGGAGGAACGAATAACCCATTGACAGGAGTGGTGAAGGATGGGGAATCTAAACAACCCTAATAGGGGAATAGGAGTGAATATGAATATATATATATATATGTAAAACTTTAAATAGAAGAGAGAGAGAGAGAGAGAGAAAAGAAGAAGAAGAAGGGTTATATATATATATGGGGAAAGAATAAGTTCTTCTTTTTTTCTTCTTCTTCTTGTTCTTCTTGTTAATGGTTATGTTTAGGGTTTTGGGGTTGTTAATGCGGCTTGCAAAAGAAAAAAAAAAAGGTGGGGGAGAGAAAGAAAAACAAATAGATTTTTGTTTTTTTTTTTTTTTTTTCTTAAACAGTGGTAATAGTGGCTTTCTTGGGATCTGATTTCCTCACTTCCTGTTAAAGTCCACTCATGTAAGCATGCATAGAACGAACAATTACCAGAAAAAAAAAAGAAAGAAAAAACCTGTTCCTATTTATTATACGTATATATATATATTCGTATCTTTATTGATGATATCTAGTTCATGTAAATTCTCGTGATTTGTCTTTTTTTTTTCCTTTTATGTTTCTTTTTCTTATGGAGTCTTGTCGTTTTCTTTTTTGTTTATGTTTTTTCTTATTACTACGTAGTTATTTTCGGTCTATGCCTTGTTTTTTTTTTTTAATTCATTCCTGTGTGTAATGTGCACACCGGTGACTGAGTCACTCACATTCCTTTTTTTTTCACACTTTGTTCATTTCCCCTTTTTTTCTTATTAGATGCGGGAAAGTGTAAATAAAATGGAGAAAAGGATAGAGAGAAATATATATATATATATTAAAAAAAAAAAGACTTTCTTCTGATATTGTCGGAAGATATTTGGCAAGAAGAGAGAAGAACTCCGTATATATGTACATACGTATCTATCTATCTGTCCATCTATATATATATATATATAGGTAGATAGATTTGCGAAGATTTTTTGTGCTTTGTTTTTTTTTTCGCTTATTGTTTGTTTTTTGTTTTGTTTGCGGTTCTTTTCGTTGTTTGTGTAGGTGTTATGTTGAGTCTACAAACTTTTCTTTTTTGGGAATGTAGCGAATAAATTAAGAGAAGAAAAAAGAAAGAAAGAAAAAAGAGAAAATAGTAGCCAACATTATTAGAAATGTAAGGAATGGAATATAAAAGAAAGAAGAAAAGAAAGAGGGGCGAGAAAGAAAGGGAGAGAAAGAGAAAGAAGGAGAGGGAAAAATAATCATGGTGTATACAAATGGTTATAGTAATTTCTATTGTAGATACTATTGCGATGGTTATTCTTTTTTTTTTCTTTTTTTAGTTGGTTGGTGTTTAACCTTGCTGTAGACCCTTTCACTGTTTCTCTTGTTTTTTTTTCTTTCTTTATTTATTTATTTCTTTCTTTTTTGTTGTTGTTGTTTTGTTCTTCTTCTTTTAACTGTTGTTGCTGCTTCAGTTTTTGATGACGTTCGTGTTGTTATTATTGTTCTTTTTTCTGTTTTGTTTTGTTTATTTTACTTCACTTTATCCATCTGCATTTATCACAGTCACTATTTGTGTTGCGTTACGGCTGTTATTATTATTATTATTATTATTATTATTATTATT